AATTGCAGTTTTAAACTTGTTTCATAATGACTTCTACCAACACAGATGGACTTCTAAGATATAAGTGACTAGAATAGTGACTTTGAAAACTCTCACTGGTGGTTTTCAAGCCATTAAAAACTACACTCGTCACCTTTAACATCTCACTTCACATTGTACAATTGCCGGGGGAGACTTTGGAGAGAACTTCTGGCATTTTTCCCAATCGGAAGTCTGACGCTTACTAATGACACTGACACAGCTGGTCACAGGAGATTCTTACTTATTATTTCATAACATGCACAGTCAATCTATCATGATGAGTACATCTGAGACTGGGAACAAACCTTGATGCACGCGGAAGTTCACTCCATTGAACTTCACACGTTGGTGCTCGAAGTTTGTTGCACGCATTTGATAGTTTGACGTCAAACAACGCAAAAGCTCAAGACCACGTAGTTCCGTAGAAAAGGCACAGAATAGTGGGATCATTCGTCTTCCGCTGTCTCAGAAAAAGAAGTCAAACCCCAAAAAGTTAGTGTTTAGTACTAAGTAGTTAAAGTAGTCACACACTACATGGTTACCCATTCTGTTGTCCATCCTTTATTTTCAGGTACTTGCAATTAGCCTACGGGCAGGAAATTGCAATTAAGTTTCTAGTAAGGCCATGTTGATTTGATTATATGGATGACATCCGCGCGCGCATGAATTTTAAGCTGTTTCCAAAAAAAAGTTTTCAACCATACTGTAAATCGTACAAAAAAGTTGCAAAATGAGCAGAAATATACCATAAGTTACAAAAAATTAATAAAAACTATTACCAATATCGTAGAATGCCAAAATCAAACGAAAAAAGACGAAATTGTAAAGAAATTAATTTGAAGACTAGATTATTCGCCAAACCATACTCTGTGCCATTTGCTCAACCCTCATGACCACGTAGATTTCATAATGAAAAGTAACTTTTTTTTTGCAAAACTTTTTTTTATTCGCACGCGCGCATCAGTTTTGGGGCTCCCGGAGGATGTCATCCATATAATCAAATCAACATGGCCTAATAAAGCTAACAAATGCAATTTCAGGGCGGTAAAAAAAATATTCTGTTTAAGGAAATCTGTTATTGGAAAATGTGGAAATCTTTTGATATTGATATTTACTGCCATTTCTTAGCACGTTTTCGTCATCATTGTATGCGTAAAGAATTTGGAATAGCCCCCCAAAAAGTGAGGGGTCTCTTTATTTTTTTGTGTACTACGCATAACTAGATAGAACCAACCTACGGTACAAAACAAGTAACCATTTTCCATCAGTGACATCGCATTTTTGCCTCACAGATATCAGTATGCTATGGTATAGGATTGATTCAACTTACTACATTAAAAGAATTCTCAGAAAATTGGCTTTGATAATCTAGTTTTGCAGCCCTAAAGTTGCATTGTTTAAAGGCGATATTGTCTGATATTTTTTCAAATAAAATGTTACTAATAGGTGTTCTCAACATATTGCATTGAGTTCTAGTATTTCATATAGAAAAATAAGCTGCTCTATTTTTTTCTATCAAGTATCATCATATCCTTCTGATAAGCCTGTAATGCCAACGTCAGTAAGTCTATTTTGTTCTGTGACCAGAAAAATTCTCCGGAGTTGCACAGCTGCAGATCTCACTAATTTGTCCGTAGAGACATTTGTAAATCTGTTGAAGCTGTCAGGATGAAGGCATAATGTGATAAAAACGTGAGCGTACATGATGTATTGTACACGTACATAAAGCCTTAGTCACACATTCAGAACCTTCCCCTAAACACCAGCCGACCAAGGTTGGCTGAAGCCCCTGTCACACATTCAGAACCTTCCCCCGAACACCAGCCGACCAAGGTTGGCTGAAGCCCCTGTCACACATTCAGAACCTTCCCCCGAACACCAGCCGACCAAGGTTGGCTGAAGCCCCTGTCACACATTCAGAACCTTCCCCCGAACACCAGCCGACCGAGGTTGACTGAACTTCGGGAGCAGTCTGACCAGATTTAAGCCATGCCCACATTTCTATACGAATGGAATCTGCGTTATATTTTAGTCAAATTTCCCTGCCAACCACGCCTCGACCTACTCCCGAACACCAGCCAACCATGGCCGAACCTCCCGCCCACATGTTTCAAAGGTTTTCAACCATTCCTCTAGCGCAGCCGACCTTGCTCCCAACCTACATTTTGTACTCCTACCCAAGGTTTGGGGGAGTTCGGCTAGTGCTCGGGATAACCATATTTGGCTATGTGTGACAGAGGCTTAATCTACCCATCTGTATCTGTATAGCCGGTATAACCGCCATTCGGCTTTACACAGTCCAGCGGCGCGGTGGCAGCTGGCTATATTACACCGAAGTCATCGTATATTAAACTTGAGCATCTAACTCTGAACATTGTTGAAAGCTATCTATAAATGACAATGCCCCTACTGTACTTGGTGACAGTGAGTTCCACACTGCGATAGTTGTAGGAAAGAATGAATTTTTGAACACCTCAATCCTTGGTTAATAGCTCTGGTACTTGACTATGCATGACTATTTCTTGGTCTCTTCTGGGCCGTTATTAAGAGGTACTTACATTTAGTAGTTGGTAGGTTTATTAGTCATTTTAGGTGGATGACTATAAATGAACAACACACCGTGACTAGTGATCATGTTTGGCGTAGCTTGTATGACTAGACTGAATCACTACGCCACAGGGTTATTTCCTGTGTTACAGACACCCCCATCAAACTCCTTTCAAGCCGTACCCGGAAATTCAAGCCGTACCCGCTCAAAAATTCTGGCCGTAGCCGGAAATTCGAGCCGTACCCGCGAACATTTCAAGCCGTACCCGGTAATTCGTGCCGTACCCTGTACTTTTTCGCCGTACCCAATGGCTCAGCCCCGGTGCGTAGAACTCGCAAGTCGTGTCTAAATATCCTGTACGGCAACGATACACAACCTCATATAGCCTATGCTCTGGTAAATATTCCTGGCCACCTATCTGCCGAATGGCGTCGTGCAAATCGCGCCCAATCTTGAGAACACTTCGCTCGGCCGGCGAAAAAGCACAGGGTACGGCACGAATTTCCGGGTACGGCTTGAAATTTTCGCGGGTACGGCACGAATTTCTGGGTACGACCAGAATTTTTGTGCGGGTACGGCTTGAATTTCCGGGTACGGCTTGAAAGGAGTTTGATGGGGGTGACAGAGCGATTCTCATACGTCAGAAAACGTGACAGAATGTGGGAGGGAGCCGGTTCAATCCGGTTCCTCCGCGGTACCGTAGCTGCGTCATATTTGAACCAGACTCTCAGTTTACTGCCGAACCCGACCCTCTGTTTTCCACTCTAGTATTCCCCATGATCCACGCCATCCATTTCCAGACGAACTTAGCTCGCAGTCGTGGGTATCCCTTTAACCTTGTCACCATTGGCCCTCTAGATCTGTCGGGCTCTAAACACGGAGCAAAATAGAAATAGCAGATATATGTCTTACTAAAGCCCCTGTCACACGTAGCAGGATATGGATATGGCCTAGCCAAACTCCCCTCAACCATGGTTAGGAGTTTGGCTTCGACCAGCCGAGTGTTTCAAAATGTTTCTGATGTACGTGGACATGGTTGGCTAGTGTTCGGGAGTAGGTCGGGCCGTGGCGTGATTGGCAGGACAAAATTGCCTCAAATCTAACTCAAATTCGATTCGATTCGTATAGAATAGTATGTGTGGCCTTTATGCTGTGGTCACATTTCCGAACCGGGGCCCGGCCGGGCAGTCTTATGGAATGAAAATTATGATATAAAACTTTATTAAAAGACAAAAAAAGTTGAAAAATTTGACAATGGGAACTATTTGCATAATATTCTTGATTTTTCGTTAGTCGAAATAGCCCGGCAACGAAACAACCTTTTCTTTAATAACAGGGAAACGCTTGAAAACGTGATGTATTTTACTGACAGTCTTCTATAGTATGTGCGGTAAGTTTGTGGTAACGTCATGGCATAAAACAAACACCTCGTCTTAAGTGGTGAAATAAGCTTAAGATGGAAAACAGTTCGACTTCATTTGCAGTCAGAGAGAGTACCAGGTAATGTTACTCCAGAGGGACGTTACATGCTGCAGACAATTACAGTTACATAACAACCAACAGGTATAACTTCAGATACGTCGAAAAAGGAACATGAACAAGGAGACCAAATGGGTTTTGCTTCAGGCACACCACTAAAGCCAAATTCACTGTTTCCCCATCGGAATCGGGCTTCTCTGTGATCTGTTGGCGGATGATTTCGTTTTGTGAACTGTGTGTGTGGCTTTCAAAGCGACAAACTAATTGCAAGTATATGCAACTAAAACAAGTCCACTCAGCTATGACACGCTAGCCCTTTGGAAAGATTGTTTGTGACTGAGTAAAGAGACTCTTTTTACACAACCAAGTCTTTTATTCAGCCGACGTTTCGGTGACTGTCTGTCACCTTCCTCAGGGCAATTCTGACTGGTTCACATTGCACGGCAGCACAGGTGTCGCTGCTATAGATGCAATGTCGGCTGAGTTGGTTGTGTAAAAAGCTCTTTACTCAGTGACTTACCAACCTGATGAAACTATTTTAATGGATTCTTTGTGACTGTTTTTTTCTGTTAATGCATCTGGATTGTAACCGTTCATATTTTATATCGTTAATTGTTTACTGTCCAGTTACCAGAGCTAGCCCTTTATAATAGCCAGTTGGCTAGTTGGCCATGGGTAGTCCTGGCTGTAAAACACTCTATACAGTCTAATAAATGAACTCAAATTTCGGGTAAAATTTCAGAAATACATACTGTAAATGATACTATGAATTTATTGAATGTTTTAGTCACAAACAATACAATAGACTCAGTGTGTCAGTGACATTCTGCTTATATTAATATCTGTGGAAAATGTAAGCCTTACCAAAATCGAGCCAGAGACCTGATATGTTTTATATATAGATGTTTTTTAAACGATAACATTATACCAGGTAGAAAGACGACAAAACATATTTATTTGGCCCCATGAAAATTTTATTCAACTGAAATTTTTTGTCAAGATACAGAAAAGAGTTATACACAGCTGTTACTCCTAGTATGTTAATGTTTACATTCAAATTGTTTGGCTTAACTTTGACATTGGAAACTGACAAACAGTGATTCTACTCAATATCAAACTATTTAAACGTTACATCACTAATATGTAGTTCCTCCCCACAAAGAAAAGAAACAAAACAAAACATTATATCTAGAAGACACTGCTAGTGAAAGCTATAAAATGTTAACACCCTTATACATTTATCCTTGCCTTGGTTGCCAATCCTTAGCCACTGAGCCCCGGTGACCAAAAATATTATTAATTAGGAAAAATCTGTCTGATATTGACATTTACTCCCAATTCTAAGCACATTTTCCTCATTATTTCCGTTTGAAATAGCCCCAAAAATAAGCTAAGTGACTGAGGCATCTCTTGTTTTGGGTACCACCCATAAATAGCTAGAACCAGCCTACGATACAAAACAAGCAACCGTTTTCCGTCAGTGACATTGCATCTCTACCTCACAGATATCAGTATGCTATGGGGTAGGATTGATTCAACTTACTACATTAAACGAATGACCAGAAAATGTACTTTTTGAAAATCCATTTTAACCCTAGCCCTTCAAATGACTAAGGCAGTTTGACTAACCCTAACCCTTTTAGCACAAAAGGCTTATGCCTCTAGTTCGTCTTTTTTATATTCCAACTGGCAGCTCATGCCCCAGTAGTAGTAGTACTCCCGGGACAGCTTGGTGGATCCCAGTTCTCCCTTGAAGTCCATGTCTATGTCAAACTCCAGGTCTCTTCCCTGTGAGCACGAAAAAAAATGAATAAAAACGGTTGATATTTTGGTTTTCAAACACATATTTGCAGTTAACATCGTATTCAAAGCAATCTGGAGGTAGATACTGGAGGTCATTACACTGTTAGTCATCGAAGTCCGAAATCCTACAAAATTGTTTCCTCGTCACCAAGTGATTCATCAATTTACCTCGTCATTTTAGTCTTTTACACAATGTACGCATTTCTTTATTCATCTTGGGAACAAGTTGGTTGTCCCATCAGTTTTTTTAGATTGGTTTCCATGCTTTATGCTGTCCATGTCAAACTCCATACTAGATTGCAATGTCGTGTCTTAGTCATCAGGGTTGCCCTTTGCAATAGCCACAGGCTAGTTGGGTTGCCTTGGCTGTGTATGTGTTGAACAGCCAAACCAATATTAAATAAAAAAATAAACATCTTACGTTGTATGCTTTAGCGGTGAATGTTCCTTCGAGCTCTTCTCCTTTGTTCACCTGAACAGGCTGGTCAAGATGACAGGTCAGCTGCATCCAGTGTGTCATGGGAGCTTCTGGGCCTGGAGAAAAATACACAGAATTCACATGGTCAATATGCTTGGCGTAATGGTTAATGTGTTTGGTCCAGAACCCAAAGGTAACGGGTTCGAATCCCTGACATGCCCCGACGTTTTGTCCCTAGTTGGGAAAGGCGCTCTTTAAACGACTACCCTTACTTTCCTCGGGTGTAAATGAGTACCTAGCTTCGGCTAGGGACGTCCCTCTGATATGACGTTAAATGGAGACCCCGTGTTTAGGGAGAGCCACACCCACCTCGCACGTTAAAGAACCCACCAGACATTTCAACGGGCATGCCCCGTGTGCAATTTGACTCAAATTTAATTCAAATTCACTTCAATCAATTTTGATAGGTGGCCTAAATCAAGTCAGAGTGTTTTCGGTCGTCAGCCGAACCTAGTCGACTGGTGATAACGGACCAAGTTCAGCTGAAGGTCGTGAAAGGCTTCAGTGAAATTTTCAGGACACTGCACATGTGTAGGAAGGTGCGATAATTGAATGAAATTATCTCTCGTCTTCTCGAAATCACTCTCGTCTTCAATCTTGTACATTTTCTCATCGCAAACTAAGTACAGGTCATTATCATATAGAGTACAGTCCACAATAAAATCACTCTCGTCTTCAATCTCATTTAGGGTACAGTAATGACAAATTCTTTGTGGCAGAGAAATGTGGTTGTGTCTACCCTTTTCAACAAGAGGTTTGTGTGAGCTAATCCGAAAACTTGTAGTGGCTATTCTGCGTCGTATATTTGTTATCTTTAAGTAGTTTTCCTCGTTGTATAATGACAATTTACACACCTGTAGAAAGAACAGTCTTGGTGGAGCATGCGCTGAACTCGCAGTCGAAGAAGACCGCCAGAGAATGGACCGTGTCCTTCCTGTTACACGTCAGCTTGAAAGGCGAGGTGAAGAAAATCTCGTCCAGTTTGCAGGTGTTCCAGTCGTATTCCTGTGGCGTCGGTATAAACAAAGTATTGTTTAAATCTGTCGATGAAGGTTAGACATCCACGTAAAACCACAGCAAGTAATGTTTATGGATGACATCAGCGCGCGCATTGATTTTCGCCTGATTTTGAAAGAAAAGAAATTTTGTTGCCTTCTGAAAGATGTCTGTTGCCATGCCGGAACGTGGATGGCAGATAAATATGACGAGAGGAGACAAGACAAGACAAGGATCTGATTTAATGTTTTGTCTTCTACTTTGATGCAGTGATGTATTTAGTTCTTATTATATGTGATGTTCTCACTGGGTCAAAACAATTTATATAATGATTGAAAAGTTTTGTTTGTTCTTACATATTGTAACCACGTATATGTGTAACGTTAGATAGGTAAGTATTGTACGTTTGGGAATGCATCTATAGCAGGGACACCTATGCTGCAGTACTATGTGATTGTGAACCAGTCAGAATTGCGGAGGAAGAGGAAGGCGACAGACGGAACGTCGACTGTGAATAAAAGACTTAGTTGATTAAATAGAGTCTCTTTACTCAGTGACGTACCAACCTGATGAAACTATTCACGGACAAACACCCCCCCCCCCGTCCTCGTACCCTGGCCTATAGGATGTGCAATTGGATAGATTTTGATCCAGTAGCAAGTAGCAAGATCTGTAGCTGACGAAAAGTGGTCAATACCAATATGGAGGTATAATACTAAGTGTTTGTCTTTTGTATTTGTATCTATCGCAAGATACATATGTTACCGGTCAGCACAGACAGACTCACCCTGAGTGTGTAGTAGTCC